GCTCAGCCAACTAAGCCACTTAAGTTGGTAACTTTGAAGCGACCACAGTTCATGCCATTTTATGATGGATTTAGTATTATTATGACAGTTTTTTTTTCAAATAAAGATTTTTACTAAATGAGGATTATATTGTCTTCCTAAAAGATCGTTAAAAAGAATGAAATAGTATATAAATAAATACCCAGAGAATTTAAGTTTATCTTAAAACTGCCTGCGTTGAATAAATAACCGTACCCTCTTATCAGGAGTTTGCATTATCTGATTATTGTGAGAGAAGTTCAACTTTTTTTCTGAATAAAAAAGTCTAAATTAATTAGTAGCAATTATCCAATTTCCAAATTTCCTTTGGATTTTCGACGCTATTAAAATATTGTTTAATGTTTTATTTATGAAAGAAAACGGTGAAAACTCCTGGTCTTGTTAACATCTAACCTTGTTGTGTTGTTAACCAGTTTCATTAATGGATAGTACAATGGCAAACTGCAGCTTGGTCTGGTAACGATTTCGCTAGGAGTCGAACCAACGACCTTCAGATTTTAAGGCAAGGTGTAACCACCCGGCTATCCTGACAGCTATTATTAGTTTTTAAAAGGTTAAAGGTTACATACAACGTGTTTAAACCTTCCATACGGTTTCTGTCACAATTACTTACATTACAATTAACAATTCAACTCGATAACGGGTTCGTCCTAGTGACGAGGCTTTTGAGATTATATTGCGCGATTGAGTAAATAATGGGATATTTTGCTTACTTTAACAAGCTAGGTTTTATCATCATATTGTGTTGTTTACATAATATACATGTTTACAATAAAAACAGTGTCATCTCGGGTTTATTGTAACAAAGAGGTAGGGCCACCAATTCTACCTGAATTCATAAACGATTAAACATTGATTTTCTTTTGAACGTAAGCCTAAATAATTTTTTACAGTCTTTCATAACAACGAGAGGGCAACAAGAGATAACGTTCATATCACCGGTTGATATCAAGCATGCAAGGGGTGTTCCGCTCTCAGATTTTGACGAGGTAATGAGTTTATGATTTACAAAATCCATTCATCATGCGTTTCTAGTTTGACAAATAGCATTAGATTTGTATTTTCTTTTGTTTTACAGTATGGATTTTCTGTTTCAAGGTACCTTGACACAAAAATTGAGGCTCCCAACTATTCATTGACTCTTATCGACTTTTTATTGACATTGTTATTTTTTGTTACACATTATATGACGATTGTGGTTTGGTAGCGTATAAAATATATATTGGATTAAAAAACAGTATATTGATGATTAGGTTTCGTTTCAACAAGTTATTTTACGATTGTTTAGTAAAGAAAAATCAAGGCATGTATTTTTTTGCCAAGCACCAGAAATCTCCGAGCAAATAATTAGCCGAAAAGTGTCCATCTCAAATGAATATGAACATGAATCTTTTCCATCAACGTTACACTACTCAATTGAATGCTATGAACAATTAGACTTTCCTTCAAAAATATCGTTGTTGAGGAAAAATAAACATCTAGTTTGTGAAATGGACTTACTTAATTGTTGGGGCAGCTTGTGGAGTTTTCTAAAGGAAAGGAAGTATGAAAATAGGCAAGAGATTATGGTTCAGATTTAAGTGTAGTGGCTTTTTAAAAACCTACAACCACCGGTCCCCACAAGGATAATATTTGCAAATAGTCCGATCAACTGTCACTTTATTGAATTATCATAGGTTTTAATTGAATTTAAATTAGTATCAGTACAAACAAATATCCCACGTTATATCGCAGTCAACGACTAACAAATGTTTCGACTAAGGCTAATTGCAACAAGTAATTAACTTTTTGTAGACTATCTTGATTGTAATGTTTTATTTTGTTGTCTTTTCCTAGAGTATTTAGTTAAATCCTTGTTACGTATATTTTGCTTGGGTATTGAATTATAGCTATGGGTGCAGTGTACGATACGAGTTGAAGTTAACCACAAAACTAATATGGAGAGCGCCAATCAGCCACTACAGTTAGTGTTTCCATTTGCATACATTTGATATTCAATGAATATTCGTAATCTCTTAGCTACTATCATAACAAATCAGTCCTAATCAACAAGTGTAGACTATACCTTTAATATTCAAAAATATACTGGTAATATCTTAATAAGGTGGTGAAATATTTAAAATTAAAATTTACAATTTTTTTCTTGTGTGTTCCCTATTTCTAAGTCATTGGGTTTACAAGGTAACAACCACCAACAACAACAACACCAGTGTTGATACTATCCAACATTGATCTTTGGTTAGTAGTCAGTAGTCATAAATAATTGATAGCATAATATACAATTGCTACATCGTATTAAACGCTAATAAATAATGTCATTTCTTGTGGTTATAAGAAATGACATTATTTATAAAGGGTTTACTTATAAATGTAAATGTAATGCTATGGGGATTATAAAACGTAATACAACTACTCACATCATTAAAATTTTGTATTTGAATAAGTTTTCATCTTCTTATATGTAAAAAAATCGGTTTTCTTTTCCGAGATCGTTTGGCTCTTCTACCCGACCGATTTTCATGATTGAGGTCTCAAATCAAAGGTATGCACGCACAAATTTCACATCAAGCATCGGAATATATTAATATACAGTCCTACTTGGCTTATACGTAAACGAGATTTGCTCCCTAGACAAGCTACTAAGTAATTAGCAGTGGTGATGTTGAGAGACTTGACCAGACTTGAGGCCTCGCCAGACACAACACTTAGTAGGAACTGAAACTTGGCCACACTTGAGATACTAGCAATTTTGTAGACACTTGAGTTAAATAAATTTATAAAGCTAACCCATTGCATAGGATTTCCGTCTAATTGTTTTAATTCTCGCTAGAATGGGTGCAGTTGAACCTCCCTCACTAAGAGCCGAGGAAGTATTTGGTTCATATATTAGGTCAAGATATTCAATAATACTTTCTATCTTAACATGAGTATCGTTGGTTGCGCCATGATCATCAGACAACTCAGGAGCTAAATATTCCAAAACTCGGTTAAGATAACCTTCAAAGTAGGTACACGTTTTGTTAGATTTTTTTAGCATAAGCCGCCACCGATCTGTAATGCACTGTAGTAAATAGCAGTTTTTGGGCAGCAATAGCCTGGACAGCAATGACAATTCTTTCCAAGTCTTGCCTTTTAAAGTGGTTTAACACTCAATTAAAATATACTGTAGCAATGCCAATGTGACGTGTATTATGAATTGTTTATTTTGGGGCCTCAAATGGGTGTCTGCACCGCACCGATCAGCTGAGCATGCGGTAGGGGGGAGGAAACACAACGTCTGCGACAATGTTCGGTGTGTGAGGGGGGATAACCTTGTGATCTGCGAACATTGGATCGCGTCGGCGCATCAACGTTGAATGCAACACTCTGAATGTGGAGGAGGGGCCACGCTTATGATATTGGTGACGTGATCAAATAAAGAATGGCTGATCGAGCACCGAATAGTTATAGCCAAATTGCAATATCATTCGAGTGAATAATTATTAATTATTACAGAGCTTTTAAAAGACGGTCAGGCACTTTTCACAGTTTTGGTTAGTTGAATAGTGAGTTAATTAGTATGAAATGTTTGTTAATGTCCATAGCGTTGTCCATTAACATCCAGCTCGAAGGACCATCTAAATGGGGCGTAAAATATGGTAATATAACTCACCAAAAGTCCAAGGGTGACTAAACAGCCCAGCCCTGGACCAAGGTACACCATAGGAGGCACATGGGAGGAAGCCGTTGGTGGATGGCAGATGACGAAGTCTCGGGCAGAGGGTGGCCAATTTGTAGATTGTTTAGTGATGAGGGGAGTGTGCACATATTTTGCGAACACTCGTTGTGGGGAATCCACTAAACACTTTACACAAGTTCCGGGCATTCACGGCGAAGACGCGCGGACCAACCGAACGGCTTGGCGGTGGCAGCGATAAACTAAGATTTAAATACCTTTGAGTTTGACTTCCAGAAAGTTTAATTGTTCGAGACGAACGACTGAAGAGCGGTAGAGAGTCCGAAAAGCGGGTTTAAAAAAGTTTCCAATGAGAGAATGAGTAATAAAATATGGTGCAATGTACTTATTTACCCAAAGACATTTCAACTGGACATGATTTGGGGAGGGGGAATGGACGCTACCTCAAATTTCTTAGAGGGGTACCGCAAATTTATCTACGTCTATGTCAAGATCAAGCCACATTTTTGGACCTATAGGATGCGTCCTGTGCTACACGGCCGAAAGTGTGTATATTTTATGTAGGCTTGTGTAAGTGAGAGTCTAAGATTTGATATTACTTTCCTTAATCGGATTGAAATGCGATTTAAAAATACAGATTTTTCTTGGAAATAAGCTATCACTATTTGAACAATAATTAAAATAATAAATATAGTAATAATTCATAAATAAAGAACAATACAGGTTGGCTGAAAACTAACTTGCACCTTTTATTTATTTTTTAAACAATTTGAGATATTTAAAATCGGTGTGCGACAACCTTCTTACGTATAAGGGGCTACAATAATTATGGTTAATTTGGAAAATTCTGCCTTTAGGGGTAGTGGGGGTAGGGGTAAGCTTAAAAATCTCAAGTGGGAAGTATAGTCGACTTTGGTATAATTTTAGAGGTCTTGATGAAACTAAACAATCGACATAAAGAAAACAAAAATCAGACCAGTGATAACAAAATATACACTTTGAAAGAACTACTTGATCCCTAAGGCCCACAACTAGTTTGCTTTTAATATTGAAGATTTTCGGAGGTTCCTGCTAGTTGACGAATGGGGTATCTGGACAGAATATAAAATATTAAGTTAAACATATTATTTGAATAATCTCAATGATATGATCTGATGATTTGGTTTCTCAAAATGCTAACATAGTATGTTACAGTTTTCACGTGCACAGTTAGTGACTGCAATTTGAAAGCATCAATCATCATTATAACACATGCTAGTCAAGTAAATTGGTCCTTACATCTGGGCCTAGTTAGAGTTATGTTTCATGTCAAACTGAGCTCTTGTTCCAAAAGTTTTACATTGTAAAAGTCGCTTTACTACCAGCATATCATGTATTTGATCAAGTCGATTCTCTTGCTACTAGTGTGTAAGTACATTTACAATATGTTTGTACTAACTTCACAAATATTGATTAACATAAGTGATGGGTAATACTAGATTACTGATTATCTGTAGCAATACTATAAAAACACCCACTTTGTTAATTAACATCAGAAGATCCAAAGATTCATTTATTTAAAGAACATCAGAATAGTTACAGTACTTATTGTAGAAACTAAATAAACACCGTATATTGTTATTGTCAAATAAACGTTCATAAAAATAACAGTGCTACTACTAAACATATGACTTTGTCTGTAACATTACATTGTAACAAATATCAGTGCACATAAATGAAGAAAATAAATATGAAAACGTAATTAATTAAAATAGGATTATTTGTGAAGCAGGCTTACCTGAATAGAAGACGGTCACAACTGCTCAAGAGATATAAAACTTTAACACTATATACACGAAACGTTAGCCTATTTACTGTCACTAATAGCATTTTCATTGATGAATGTAATTTTCAAATCATATTTGGTGGTGTTGTAGGCACTGTAAATTATGTCAGTGAATTTCCCATATAGGGAATAAGCTATTGCCGTACATGGTAAGACCTGGTCAAAATTTACTTTTTTGGTCTGATGTCCACAGATGCAAAACACCCCAAAAATAAAAATTCATATTTATATGCCAATTATTAGGTCAATTAACAAATAATAAATCATCTGATTTTAACGAAATTAAAAAAAGTGTAAACCTACATTTACTAAAACGAGTTCGTGAACCAGCATGATTGGACTTTGGAAACGGGTTTTATGGGGTAAAAATTGGGCTTTCTCCATTTTAATTTCCAAAACATTAAGTTATTGCATTTCTTATGGCACATTATTTTATTGTATTTTTTGCGATTGATAGTTATTAGTTCAATGATTAAATGCTTATGAGTTCTAATGAAAGATTTTTCGTAAACTATAACACCACCGTCCCACGCAGACAAAGCGAATTTCCATTTGGCTTATTAGATTTCTACAGAAATATTTATTAAATCTGACAAATTTATTCCCCAATCAAATAGGTTTGTTCTTTTCTTTTATCGTTCACTTAGGACATTGCAAATGATTACGCTACACATTGCACCCTATTGTAAAATCAGAATATTTTTTGTTTTTTTTTTGCACTCGACTGCAATTGTGTTTTTAATTAATTGATGGTGTTATGCCACATAGTAACTTATATTTGACCAAAGGGAATAATATAAAACAGAGTTACCATTGACTATTTACATAACGGTACTCAATACGTTCATACAACCTAAGTAGCATCATTGAGTATGGTTAGTGTTTGGTTGTACGCAGTTTACCTTTGTTACTTTTAATCAATGGTAAGGTGTAGCTATTTTGTAGTGTCTATAATCAATGGCAAGTCTGAATCTAAATTACATGATCTATGGTACGGGTGGAATTAGACTTAAGCCAGCAGTTTGTATATGTTGATGGTTTCATTTAACAACCTTAGAAACCCCGATAATCGTATAGTTCTCCAAGCATCCATAGCCATAATCTCCGGGACAATTTTAATCTTTCAGTGCCACGTCACTCTCTTTTAGACAACTCTCTTTCAAAAAACTTTCACTTCAATACATTAAAACCTTTTAATTACCTCCCTCTCCCTTTGTAAGCCAAACAGGAAATCGAGAAATTCGGGAAATGTCTAAAGTCCATCTTGATAGAAAAGATCTGCTACAGTGTCCGGAGATTTACTGGTAGTCTTGGTATCAAATCAAATCAGTTTTATTCCACAATATATACAAAATTTAAAATTTTTCAAAAAATTAAAATACGAATATACGAGAGGTCTCACGAGAGGTGTCTCAAATTGATTACGAAAAAAACGGCTTAACGTAAAAGGATGAAATAAAATTATTTCCCGCTAAATCAACCTCAAGGAATAACATAAAAATATTTTTAACCATTTCCCAATACAGGGTGTGCCAAAAACTTAGGGTCACTAGTTCGAATCTCGGAATTTTCAAATGTAAACATATGTCATGTTATACATAATTTAAAAGATATTAGATAGACAAACATTTTGGCGAAAACAGAAATTAGTTATCTTTTTCCGTTTCAAAATGGCGGCAGGTTTCTTGGAAAAAGTCTATATTTTTTTAATACTCTGTGTTTCCTATACCAATATATTTATCCCTTCTCCGGTTGAATTTTCTTACTCGTTATGAAATTAGCTTTACTTTAATATGCTACAAGTAACGGTTTTTTGAAATTATAAAATAGGAATTAAAAACCCTATAAAATCATGTGCCACTTGACATATGTTGCTATTTGAAATTTTTGAAAAATGAGCATTTGCAAATTTTTAAAAATAATCTTTTTGGGATTTTATAATTTCAAAAAACCGTTACTTGTAGCATATCAAAGTAAAGCTAATTTCATAACGAGTAAGAAAATTCAACCGGAGAAGGGATAAATGCATTGGTATAGGAAACACAGAATATAAAAAAATATAGATTAAAAAAAAAAACTGCCGCCATTTTGAAACGGAAAAAGATAACTAATTTCTGTTTTCACCAAAATGTTTTTCTATCAAATACCTTTAAAATGATGTATAACATGACATATGTTTACATTTTAAAATTCCAAGATTCTACCTAGTGACCCTCAGTTTTTGGTACTGTACACCCTGTATTTGGAAAAAGTTAAAAATATTTTTACGTTATTCCTTGGGGTCGATTTAGCGGGAAATAATTTCATTTCATCCTTGTACGTTAAGCAAGCCGTTTTTCCGTTATCAATTCGAGACACCTCTCGTGAGACACCCTGTATATAGTCTTGAAGCATTATACAGTTCATTGTTTACGTAAAATTAAAGTAAAATTAAATTTACAAAGTTATAAACTTAAATACTAGTTGAAATATGTTTGCTCCGGCTAGAATAATAACTAATGTAATAATGGAAAGGAGTTTGCATAGACCTCAGTGGTCTGTGCGTAGACTCGAGTTGTTAAAAATTATAATTTTTGAGCTAATTTGCAATTAAAGAAAAAGTGTTAAATTAAATAAAAATTTACTGTGTGCTATGGGAACGTGATTTGAAGATCATATACAAAAAGGGAGTAAATATTCATTAAAATTTTTATCAACGGAATTGTTTTATGGGGAAGCCAATAAATAGAATGGAAAATAATTATGTTGGTTACAAGAGTTTGCAGAGGTCCTGTCCGTCCAGTGTTGTCAGACAGTGGCAGGTCGCCTGTTATCAGTAGTGATAAGAGCCTCGGCCTCTTCATCACTGATATCCAATAACCATCTATTAACTCGATTTTTGAATACACCTAATGTAGGGGAACTAAATAACTGAGTTGCTCTATACATATTGGTATAATTCCGGAACAAAATATGTGCTATGTAGAAACAATTTGTTTTTGAAAAGGATTTGTGCTGCTGAATAGTGGAAATTCCAATTCTATTTGCATATCTTGTATTATGAACGTGGGTTATGGAAGTAAAAATTGAATTAAAGTTTTGAAATATAAAAATTAGAAGATCTTTGATAAACAATTTTGCAATGGGGAATGTTCCAGTTTCATGAAATAGTAAATCTGAGGGGTATCTTTTACACTTTTTGAACCCAGCTTTTAGGATAGACTTTTGAACCAGAATCAGACCTGTGAGATGTGAACTGTACGCCCCTCCCCAAGCTAATATTCCATAAGACAAAACCGACTGTACATATGCAAGATATGTTGATTTAATTTCTTTAAAACTGAGAACATCACTTAACTGTCTAAATGCAAATATAAGTTTTCTAGTTTTATTTTGCAAGAAACTAATATGCTCTATCCATTTCATATGTGAGTCAAAAATTATTCCTAAATATTTATATGAGTTCACTTTCTCTAAGGTCTCGCACGAACAACTGTTATTGAATTGGTTGAGACAGCTGTGAAGATCGAATTGGTTAGGTTATAGTCAGCTGTTGACGCGAGAGAAATTGGCATAAATTTTGTTTTTGAAACATTAAGAGATAGTACATTTTGGTCGAGCCATTTTTTTACTAATTTAAAATTTACTTTATTGAGCTTTACTTTTTACACCTTCCCATGTCTTATCCTTAACATAAATCAACGTGTCACCTGCACAAAGAAGCATTTTTCCGAAAATTGATGATTTAGAAATATTATTTATATACATTAGGAATCAAATAGGCCCAAGGATACTCCCCTGAATCACCCCATAGTCAACAGGCACCTCATCGCTATTGACTCCATCTACGTATACAAATTGTCGCTTAAGCCGGGTTTTCCTAGGCACGGAGTCGGCCAGCGGAGAGCGGACAACGGAGAGCGGAATTGAAATTAACATGGCATTCCGCTCCGCTGCTAGGAAAACAGTAACATTAAATTACCTAAGACAAGCTGAGTCCGCTCTCCGTTGTCCGCTCTCCGCTGGCCGACTCCGCGTCTAGGAAAACCCAGCTTTATCGCTGAGGTAGCCTTTGAACCATGAGAGAGCGTTCCCCCTAGCAGTTAATTTTGAAATTAGATGCTTTCTGTCTACACTATCAAAAGCTTATTTGAGATCTAAAAAAATTAATACTAAGCGCAGATTTTCAGATGGAGCATTAAAAATTTCTTTGTTGATATGAATAAGAGCATCTGTAACATTTTTATCTTTTCTGAACCCATATTGACAGTCTGCTAGGATCTGATTCTGGTTCAAGTAATCTACCATCTGTTCCTTAACTATTTTTTCAAGCACCTTAGAGAATGCACTCAACAAAGAAATTGGTCTGAAATTATTTTTGTCTTTGTGCGAGTTTGATTTGTATCGAGGAAAATTTGCCAATTTAAACTTGTCCAGAAATATTCCACTAGCCAAACTTTAATTTATGATATGCAATAATGGTTTAGAGAGTGAATTGATGTTATCTTTGAGAACATCAGCCGAGACACCATCAAAACCGGGGGCAGACCCACCACGTAACGAGTAGACATGTCTGATAACGTCGAGTTCAGTCACTGTCTGGAGTGTAAACACAGTGTCCTGCCTGTAATCTGCGTCGTTGATGATCGGCGGACCACTGCTATTTATTGAACTGGCAAGGTTAAATACAACAGAAGCGAAAAACGTGTTAAAGTCATCAGCTACACTCTTTCTTAAATCAGGATCACTCCTGGATATGTTTGGAAGATATTTCTGAACTGAAAAAGGGTCTATCTTATTTGATCGCCCCGCCTGCTCGTTCACAACCATCCAAAAGCCATCAATAGGGGTTGTGTGTCACAAGAAAAATCGCATTATATTATTTACTACTTAATTTAATTTTATAAGTTAAGACTTGGCCAATGCAAAATGGTTGTTATTCTAGCTGAATAAATTACTTTGACGTTGTATTGACGCTGCTTTGTCCTTGTAAGCCTACCTCCATAAAAACTGATAAAGGTGCTGGAATATTGTACATTGCACATTCGAAGCTAATAAACTTAAATCAAATACGCATTGACCTTGTTAGATGTGAATTTTTCAGAATTATATGAAGGCTTTGGTTTCAGGTTCGTTCTGTGGCGCATGTAAAGAGGGATTCTACACTTATTCAACACACAACGGCCTTGCTGGCTATGTGGACGGTCCTTGCCTCCTTTGCCTTCAAAACAATGCGAATGAAGGCACATTTAACTATGAATGTAACAATGGCCTCGTGTGTGTGGGCAACCGCGGTTCATCGTCACGTCTATGTAAGCAAAAGGACAAACAGAGCTGAGCTGTAAACCTTGTCTGGCAACAATAAACAAGGTCTCAGAGAATCTTAAAATTTATCTTCATACCTAACGTATTCTGTCATCTTATTTATTCATAAGTGTGTACAAAAGTATTGTGTCCGATTATTGACCAGAACTAATGTCAAACTGGATTATGGTATACATTTTGCAAAAAATAATAAATGTTTAAAAAAGTTAAAGTCATAAAAAGATTTATTCTTAAGAAGGTAGGAAAACCACCTTCACAGGGTATATACCACATCTATATATGAATTTGAACGGATTGTGTTTTTGGTCTCTGGGGACATATAAAAGAAAAAGGAAATCGGTCCCGGATCCAGGTCTTATCATGAGACCTCTACGGTAAAAGCTCATTCCTTACATAGGGAATTCGCTAAAAACAATACACGTCAAAAGTACTTTTTAAAGTGCTATAATAATTGTTAAGCAAACGTAGCATAGACCATAGCTAACCACCATAGCGTTGCATAGTAAAATATAGTTAGTTTTATGCACACACTCGTTTTAAGTACATTTACAACTTAAAATTCGGATGAGGGTAAAAAGTTCTGCTATGTTAAATTATTAACATCACAATAACTCATCCTTTACTATACTCTGGTTCGTAAGGTTACGGTTTAACACAAGGTCTTACACTAACACTTTGTCTCTTAGTCAAAGTCAAAACTTTCTTCTTAGAAATTTATTTTGCCATGTATCTAATGAAAATAAATATATTTTATACAGATAGCACTACTTAAAAAAAATCTTAAATTAAAACAATTATCTTATAAAAGAAGTCTATTTCAGCTGTAGCTGTAGGTGATGTTGCATCAAAAGGCAGGTACAAACCTTTAGACAGACATTTAAGTAGTTGTCTCTCAGTATATTGCATATAACAATACCATTTCATTCATCACTATGACAATAGGGGCTGTAATGTGACGTCCTTTGTAGTATAAGAAGGAAGTGAAGTGAGAAACCAACGATGAAATGCCACATAAGTTTAAAACGAAATATAGGCTACTTTTGTTGACGATTTCTCATCCTTGTCTAATTTTTTGATTAAGTAGGAAACTAATTAAGATTTTATTTATCAACTATTTGAGATGGGGACGCCACCTAGGTGCGTATATTAACCAAAATATGAGTGGAGGATGAGTGTAGAATGTTGTGAGATGATCTGTGTAGCTTTTTACTGGCTATGATCCGCTGTTTGTTCAGTCAGAACCATTTACCTAAGCCCATTGCTCAGAAACTAAGAGCTTTCTCAGGATCGAACCGGCGACCTTTTGACTGCCAGGAAAACACTTTAACCACTCAGCTACCCAGTCAGTTTGAATTAGTATTCCTTGGCCATCAAGTGGCTAAATGGTTTTGACGCGGTATCCTATTACAATTCACACTTTCCTACGGGTAAATTTGATGTAGCGTCTGGCATATAGTTCTATAGTTATTAATATTCAGTTTCGATAATTAAGTCTTCTATATGTATTTTGTTTTGCTCAAGTTGTGGAGTATGCAAAACCAATTATTTATTTAATAGAAAACGCATATATTTTATAAATTCATACAGATAAATAAAAACTGAACGATAAATAACACAAAGCGAGGCAACCCTTTATCATTTCCACGGTGACACGAACCATTCAACGCGGAGCCATTGAATAAAGGACAACAAAGGCAACTGTCAAATGGCGTCTGCTTTGGATGACATATCAATATAATGCGTTTTACATTTATGACAGTGGTATGGATTTTTTAAAATAATCTTAAAAAGTAAAAACTACTAATTAACTGAGGATGAAGTCAGGGAAATATCACCAGAATCGGCTCAATAATGTATAATAGTAGCGATCGCATTTTAGGGAATTTCCCATATAGGGAATAGGCTATTAGCGTAGGTCTCATGGTAAGACCTAGACCCGGGACCAATTTACTTTTACGTTTTGAGGTCCCAAGAGCTTAAAACACCCTCCGTTCAAACTGTATATAATATAAGTGTTCGTTAGCGTGATAATTCCGACAAAAATATCCAAATTGTTATGAAGTTTGGCACAAACGTGTAAACCTAAGTTTATTTGAACGAGTTCTCAAACGAGCATAATCGGACTATGGGAACGGGGGTTTATGGGTTTTTTTGGGTTGCAAATAGATTATTTCCATTTTTAACCTAAAACACATGTCATGATTTGTCTCTAAACCAATTTGTAGAGATTAAAAAAAGAAATAACTTTGTATATGGAAGCGTTGTATGCCGTACGGTTACAGAGATAATTATAAGAATTGTAAATTAAAAATTCTCATTTGATTCTTATGGAGAATAAATAAACTATTGTAGTTTGTTTGCTTATAGATATATTTTAATCAAACTTGGATATTTTGTTTATTTCATACCAAGCTATCAACATTTCAATAAAAAAAAAACACATATTATAATTCCCCGTAGCAGCAAATCTAAATCCGTATTAAATTAATTGAAAAAGTTTCGGTATTAAAGTGGCCTGAGGGAAAACACCGCTTTTGCCAGATTGTTATTCATTACAAAACCTTAAACGTAATATGTTTTTTAGTTAGTGGATAATTAATATTGCTGATTTATTAGAAAATGTGTGCATGGTTATAAGAAAACTGTCTATTGCAATTCCTGTGAATTTTATTATCAGTTAGAATTGCCGTCTCATTAAGTCACTGGGGTACCGTACGAATAAAAAATATATTTTTACCAAATTATAATTTTATATTGATTTAAAAAACCTTCACTCAACAAAATTTCTACCAAATTATCTTTAAAAAACAATTTTAAATTACCTTGTATCGCAATGTATAAAGCTAAATAATTGAATCATTAAAATAAGATGTTTAATACATAGACGAAGGACCAGTCCTAAAACAGGACAAATGAGCAAAATGATAAACATATACCAGTACACCATTCTAGGGATGTGATAAAATTGCGGCTTCATTTAACAGTTCCCTTGGTCAGTTTAAAGGTGTGAAAAATCTGGCCGAACAAATATAATTTTTCGTAAAATGACCGGGTATCGAGGTTTGCATGCAACGCACGGAGAAGTGAAGAAAGTTCGTGGCTAAAGAAAATGAGAACATTAGCAACAAAATAATTATGTCTCAGGTCAGGAGAAACCCGGTATGGTATTTTTAATCTAAAATAAAATATCCTTACAATGATTTCAAACTATAAATAAAAGGTTGTCTTTAATTGTTTTACTGAATATATGACAGGTTATTAGTAAAACTAATAACTCTCAACAACAAACAAAATTTCTGTCAAGTATAACTTAAAAGAAATCTTTTAGGCCATTGTGCATTTATGATCACGTTGGGGATGGACCACGCCCACACATATTGCTTAAACATGTATTTTAAATAAACAAACCACATAATGAAAAATGTTATAAGGAAACACTCTCATAATTTAATTCACAGTTATAGTACATATCATGTACGGTAACGCCCAGAGAATGTTAATAACTGCAACGTGGCGTCCGGAGCCTTTGTGTTTACCCTTCATTTAACCAGATAATTGGTTCACACCGCTTACAGCCAATCAACAATGAATGGACGAGTTGATCGGTGGTGTGGAAATTCATATAAAAGAATCTAGCACCTAATTTTATTAATTAAATATTTACTGCGTTCCATCAAAATTGAAACCTATTTTTATGAACCAGTTATGTGATTTTTTATGAAATTTCCTTTTGGCCAGAATTTGGCTACAATCGTTAGCATAATTTTTTAAGTATATAATGTTATGTTTGAATTCTAAAACTAAATAGCTGAGTGGCTTAACTATTCTCCGACCTGGTGAGATGTTGTAGGTGATGTTGCATCAAAAGGCAGGTACAAACCTTTAGACAGACATTTAAGTAGTTGTCTCTCAGTATATTGCATATAACAATACCATTTCATTCATCACTATGACAATAGGGGCTGTAATGTGACGTCCTTTGTAGTATAAGAAGGAAGTGAAGTGAGAAACCAACGATGAAATGCCACATAAGTTTAAAACGAAATATAGGCTACTTTTGTTGACGATTTCTCATCCTTGTCTAATTTTTTGATTAAGTAGGAAACTAATTAAGATTTTATTTATCAACTATTTGAGATGGGGACGCCACCTAGGTGCGTATATTAACCAAAATATGAGTGGAGGATGAGTGTAGAATGTTGTGAGATGATCTGTGTAGCTTTTTACTGGCTATGATCCGCTGTTTGTTCAGTCAGAACCATTTACCTAAGCCCATTGCTCAGAAACTAAGAGCTTTCTCAGGATCGAACCGGCGACCTTTTGACTGCCAGGAAAACACTTTAACCACTCAGCTACCCAGTCAGTTTGAATTAGTATTCCTTGGCCATCAAGTGGCTAAATGGTTTTGACGCGGTATCCTATTACAATTCACACTTTCCTACGGGTAAATTTGATGTAGCGTCTGGCATATAGTTCTATAGTTATTAATATTCAGTTTCGATAATTAAGTCTTCTATATGTATTTTGTTTTGCTCAAGTTGTGGAGTATGCAAAACCAATTATTTATTTAATAGAAAACGCATATATTTTATAAATTCATACAGATAAATAAAAACTGAACGATAAATAACACAAAGCGAGGCAACCCTTTATCATTTCCACGGTGACACGAACCATTCAACGCGGAGCCATTGAATAAAGGACAACAAAGGCAACTGTCAAATGGCGTCTGCTTTGGATGACATATCAATATAATGCGTTTTACATTTATGACAGTGGTATGGATTTTTTAAAATAATCTTAAAAAGTAAAAACTACTAATTAACTGAGGATGAAGTCAGGGAAATATCACCAGAATCGGCTCAATAATGTATAATAGTAGCGATCGCATTTTAGGGAATTTCCCATATAGGGAATAGGCTATTAGCGTAGGTCTCATGGTAAGACCTAGACCCGGGACCAATTTACTTTTACGTTTTGAGGTCCCAAGAGCTTAAAACACCCTCCGTTCAAACTGTATATAATATAAGTGTTCGTTAGCGTGATAATTCCGACA